TCTTCATTCATCCAGACACAGTGTAAGTGTAAGTGTGTCTTCATTCATCCAGACACAGTGTAAGTGTGTCTTCATTCATCCAGACACAGTGTAAGTGTCTTCATTCATCCAGACACAGTTAAGTGTGTCTTCATTCATCCACACAGTGTAAGTGTGTCTTCATTCATCCAGACACAGTGTAAGTGTGTGTCTTCATTCATCCAGACACAGTGTGTAAGTGTGTCTTCATTCATCCAGACACAGTATATGTGTGTCTTCATTCATCCAGACTTCATTCAGTGACACAGTAGTGTGTCTTCATCCATTCATTCAGACACAGTGTAAGTGTGTCTTCATTCATCCAGACACAGTGTAAGTGTGTGTCTTCATTCATCCAGACACAGTGTAAGTGTGTCTTCATTCATCCAGACACAGTGTAAAGTGTGTCTTCATTCATCCAGACACAGTGTAAGTGTGTCTTCATTCATCCAGACACAGTGTAAGTGTGTCTTCATTCATCCAGACACAGTGTAAGTGTGTCTTCATTCATCCAGACTTCATTCATGTACAGTGTGTCTTCATTCATCCAGACACAGTATATGTGTGTCTTCATTCATCCAGACACAGTATAAGTGTGTCTTCATTCATCCAGACACAGTGTAAGTGTGTCTTCATTCATCCAGACACAGTGTAAGTGTGTCTTCATTCATCCAGACACAGTGTAAGTGTGTCTTCATTCATCCAGACACAGTGTAAGTGTGTCTTCATTCATCCAGACACAGTGTAAGTGTGTCTTCATTCATTCATCCAGACACAGTGTAAGTGTGTCTTCATTCATCATCCAGTGTAAGTGTGTCACAGTATAAGTGTGTCTTCATTCATCCAGACACAGTATATGTGTGTCTTCATTCATCCAGACACAGTATATGTGTGTCTTTCATTCATCTTCATTCATCCAGACACAGTATAAGTGTGTCTTCATTCATCCAGACACAGTACAGTGTAAGTGTGTCTTCATTCATGTGTGTCTTCATTCATCCAGACACAGTGTATGTGTGTCTTCATTCATCCAGACACTATGTATGTGTGTCTTCATTCATCCAGACACAGTATATGTGTGTCTTCATTCATCCAGACACAGTATATGTGTGTCTTCATTCATCCAGACACAGTAAATGTGTGTCTTCATTCATCCAGACACAGTGTAAGTGTGTCTTCATTCATCCAGACACAGTATATGTGTGTCTTCATTCATCCAGACACAGTGTAAGTGTATCTTCATTCATCCAGACACAGTGTAAGTGTGTCTTCATTCATCCAGACACAGTGTAAGTGTGTCTTCATTCATCCAGACACAGTGTAAGTGTGTCTTCATTCATCCAGACACAGTGTAAGTGTGTCTTCATTCATCCAGACACAGTGTAAGTGTGTCTTTATTCATCCAGACACAGTGTAAGTGTGTCTTCATTCATCCAGACACAGTGTAAGTGTGTCTTCATTCATCCAGACACAGTATATGTGTGTCTTCATTCATCCAGACAAAGTAAATGTGTGTCTTCATTCATCCAGACACAGTGTAAGTGTGTCTTCATTCATCCAGACACAGTGTAAGTGTGTCTTCATTCATCCAGACACAGTGTAAGTGTGTCTTCATTCATCCAGACACAGTGTAAGTGTGTCTTCATTCATCCAGACACAGTGTAAGTGTGTCTTCATTCATCCAGACACAGTATATGTGTGTCTTCATTCATCCAGACATAGTATATGTGTGTCTTCATTCATCCAGACATAGTATATGTGTGTCTTCATTCATCCAGACACAGTGTAAGTGTGTCTTCATTCATTCAGACACAGTGTAAGTGTGTCTTCATTCATCCAGACACAGTATATATGTGTCTTTATTCATCCAGACACAGTAAATGTGTGTCTTCATTCATCCAGACACAGTATATTGTGTCTTCCTTCATCCAGACACAGTATATGTGTCTCTTCATTCATCCAGACACAGTATATGTGTGTCTTCATTCATCCAGACACAGTATATGTGTGTCTTCATTCATCCAGACACAGTATATGTGTGTCTTCATTCATCCAGACACAGTATATGTGTGTCTTCATTCATCCAGACACAGTAAATGTGTGTCTTCCATCATCCAGACACAGTATATGTGTGTCTTCATTCATCCAGACACAGTAAATGTGTGTCTTCATTCATCCAGACATAGTATATGTGTGTCTTCATTCATCCAGACACAGTAAATGTGTGTCTTCATTCATCCAGACACAGTAAATGTGTGTCTTCATTCATCCAGACACAGTAAATGTGTGTCTTCATTCATCCAGACACAGTAAATGTGTGTCTTCATTCATCCAGACACAGTAAATGTGTGTCTTCCATCATCCAGACACAGTATATGTGTGTCTTCATTCATCCAGACACAGTAAATGTGTGTCTTCATTCATCCAGACATAGTATATGTGTGTCTTCATTCATCCAGACACAGTAAATGTGTGTCTTCATTCATCCAGACACAGTAAATGTGTGTCTTCATTCATCCAGACACAGTAAATGTGTGTCTTCATTCATCCAGACACAGTAAATGTGTGTCTTCATTCATCCAGACACAGTAAATGTGTGTCTTCATTCATCCAGACACAGTAAATGTGTGTCTTCATTCATCCAGACACAGTAAATGTTTGTCTTCATTCATCCAGACACAGTAAATGTGTGTCTTCATTCATCCAGACACAGTATATGTGTGTCTTCATTCATCCAGACACAGTGTAAGTGTGTCTTCATTCATCCAGACACAGTATATGTGTGTCTTCATTCATCCAGACACAGTATATGTGTGTCTTCATTCATCCAGACACAGTATATGTGTGTCTTAATTCATCCAGACACAGTATATGTGTGTCTTCATTCATCCAGACACAGTGTAAGTGTGTCTTCATTCATCCAGACACAGTGTAAGTATGTCTTCATTCATCCAGACACAGTATATGTGTGTCTTCATTCATCCAGACACAGTGTAAGTGTGTCTTCATTCATCCAGACACAGTGTAAGTGTGTCTTCATTCATCCAGACACAGTCTTCATTCAACTAGTCACAGTCTATATATATCTGTGTATATCTAGATATATTTCTATATGTTTATTTAAATACAGTTTATTATGTGTTTATTTATCTAGATACATTCTATGTGTGTCTTCATTCATCCAGACACAGTCTATATTTATCTTAAGCTATCTAGACACAGTCTTTGTAGTGTTTTTTTTTCCATCTATACACAGTATATGTATGTTTTTATTCATATAGACTCAGTATATGTATGTGTTCAATCATCTAGACAAGTCTATGTATGTTTATTCATCTCGTCACGGTCAATGTTCACGGTCTACTTCATTCATCTAGACACAGTTTTTTTTATGTCTTCATTCATCTTGACAAAGTCTATGTATGTGTTTATTCATCTAGACATAGTCTATGTGTATCTGCCTTCATCTAGACACAGTTTATATGTGTCTTCATTCTTCTAGAAAACGTCTGTGTATGTGTTTATTCATCTAGACATAGTCTATGTATATCTTCATTCATCTTGACAAAGTCTATGTATGTGTTCATTCATCTAGACACAGTTTATGTGTGTCTTCATTCATCTAGACAAAGTGTATGTCTGTGTTCATTTATCTATACACAGTCTATGGTTGTGTTCATTCATCTATTCAAATTCTATGCTAGTGTTCATTCAAACGGGCAGCCAAAATAAAAGTGACCCACCAGCGCTAATGCTGTCCGTTGACGTTTGACGCAGACCAACCCATTTGTCAAACTTATGGCATGTATCTGTCGGCGCGGCTGTCCAGATGGTTTTTTTTTTTTTTTTGCAGACAAGAGTAAGATGTAAAATGGGAAGTGCGTCACTACTGGTGTATAAATGTGAAAAAGACAAAGACAAATCAGGAGGAGGAAAAAGAGGGCGAAGAAGGTGGCGGAAGAGAAGGAGGGGGAGGAAAGTGGGTTGGAAAGTCAGTCAGTCAAGTAAGTGTTATTGTATATACTACTGGGTCCCAATGTCGGACGCTTGTTGTTTTAAAACCCCACCCTGGCTGTTGCCGGGGATCCTAGTATAACCCAGTTTATGCTTTGATCGGGGTTTCTGGGACCTGTCCGTAAGTGATCGTCATCCAAATGGTGGCACTTTGTGTCACCAGGCGTTTATCGCTGGATGTGCTGTCCTGGTGGGGTTGAACGTCATTCAGTCAATCAAAAATGTTTCACCTGCACACAACTGTTACAGACCAGGATGAGTCGCATAGCTTCAGCTTGCATGCGTTCCAGATTCTCTTGTTTGCTGTGACTGAACTTTGACCAGGGGAAGCCGTGTTGCTGTCCGAAGCACTTAGTGTAGTGACCCAACGCTCACTTCTCAGACTAAAGATTTTGGGTTCAAGTCCATATCGATACGGGATTTGTTTTCAAAATTAATTTTGGCTCTCTACCTAATTTAAAAGGAGTACCAATGTCATGGTGGCCGGCGTGATACTGACCACATCCCAGATCCCAGAATAGTTTTGTCAATAAAAGTATGAGTCTAGCACCATATGCCAGAGGCGCTACTGATGTGAAATTGTCCTTGACCTTTCGATACAGATGGGGAAGTAGAGTCTACTAGTCTGTTTGCTGGTCTGTTCATCAACAAACAACAACATGACAACAACAAACAACAACATGATAACAACAACAAACAACAACAAAACAACAACAACATTGGCTCGACATTGAGTTTTATTTTTCTGTGCGCAACCTGTTTAAGTAAAGTTCGGGATGTTTAAAATCAAAAGGAAAAAAGTATTAGGAAGATCAAACAGTGTTGTAAAGTTCCTGCCTCGCTAATAGTCGTGGCTGTAGCTGTAGGCTCGATGTTTGTGCTGAAGAAGCTACACGATTTGTGGGCTGAGTACAGGTGGAATCATGACTGCTAAACTTGTGGTGGCCGTCGATTGATCAGCGATAAAACTAGAGAAATCCATTAGTGGGCAAGCCTGCTGAATCAACACTAGTCGGCTCGAGTGAAATCGATGATACTGTGGCGGATGCGATGGGCGTGGAAATGCTGCTGGCCAAACCAATCAGTGTTGAAGATACTGAATCAGACAAAAGGGGCGTGGATGTGACTGCAGTGGAACTAATGGTTGACGAGGGTTGAATGGTTGTAGGCGGAGTCACAGTTGCGATCAAAATCACGGGAGGTTGAGTTTTTCCAACAGAGGATTGTTGTCTGTATCTATAACAGGCGCAATTGATCCTGTTCTTGTAGGGGTTGCAGAACGGGCTCTGGTAGCATCTGCCGTTGGCATACCCCACACGTTTACAATGGAAATCACACTGCGAACTGAAATGAGATAAAAACACAAATTTATGTTTAAGGTTTATTTTTATTTTTATTTTTAACATGAATCAAATCAGTTCTCGTTATGCCTAGTAGCACATGAGGCTTCAGAGAGGACTTTCTATGCTTTCCTGTCCTGTGCAATCTTCAGTGCAGTTTTCCATGTCAAAGATGCCGCACTCAGGTCACTTTCCATCGTTCGTCTCCATGTTGTTTTTGGGCTCCCCTGTTTTCTCTTTTCCTCTGGTGTCCATGTGAGAACTGTTTTGACAGGTATATCAGAATTAATTCTCATAACGGGGCCAAGCCATTTCCATCTTTTCTTGCTTATCATACAGTCTAAAGTTTCTTGGTTTGTGACTTTAAGTAATTTAGTGTTTGAGATTGTATCTGGCCAGAAAATTTTGATAATTCAACGTATACATGTGTGATGGAAGGTGGACAGCTTGTGTTTATCCTTTTTGGTCATTCTCCAGCATTCCGCTCCATAAAGAAGAACTGGCAAACTGATGCTCTTGTATAGTCAGAGTTTCGTTCCTCTGCAGAATTGTTGGATTTCCAGATTTGCCTCATCCTTCCAATAGCAGCTCTAGCTTTGTTCAGACGTGACTCTATGTCCTGCTGTGCTGTGTAGTCTGTTACTTTTCTCTTGTATGTGTTCATGTTTATGTGATAGGAGTGCTATATCATCTGCAAAATCAAAGTCCTCAATGAATGGAGTCCATCGTATGCCTCTTAATATCCTGTCTACTATGTTCTTTAGTATCCAATCAATCACAAGGTTGAAGAGGAGAGATGACATAACACATCCCTGTCTTACACCTATCTTTACTGGGAAAGATGTATTATATTTTTTTATACTGCACGCAAAGTCTTTATAGAAGAGAGCAATTATGTTGACTATTTTTTCTGGAATTCCATAATGTCCTAAAATGTTCAAATGACTGTCTTTATGGATGCTGTCAAAAGCTTTCTCAAAGTCCACACAATTCATATATATACTTCTCTGCCATTCATTGCATTGTTCTAAAATGTCACGTAAGGTGAAGATGTGTTCAGACATGAATCAAAAGGAATGTAAAAAAAAAAACTCTTCCCATTGCATGAAAATTGACGCAACTATTAATGCCACTGCTATCAATGGGCAACGTATCGTCCTATCTGGGATGAGAAATCAGTAGTAGTAGTAGTAGTAGTAGTAGTAGTAGTAGTAGTAGTAGTAGTAGTAGTAGTAGTAGTAGTAGTAGTAGTAGTAGTAGTAGTAGTAGTAGTAGTAGTAGTAGTAGTAGTAGACTTTTACCCCACTAGGACATCACACAACCGATAAACACCTGATGACACAAAGTGTCACCATGTGGATGAGGATCACCCGTGGAAAGGTCCCAGAAACCGCGCTCAACCATTAGACCATATTTATGGTCGGGCTATGTTGCGGCCCCTGGCAGGAGTCAGGGTGGGGCTTCAAATAACGAAAAGCTGCATCTCACAAGGAGATGACTGGGTTATAGCTAATAGAAGTTAGTAAATACAGACTGACTTTCTACCCCACCAGGACATCACACAAGCGATAACACCCGACGACACAAAGTGCCACAATGTGGATGAGGTTCACCGTGGAGAGGTCCCAGAAACCGCGTTCAGACAATTGGCCATATTGATGGCCTGCCTATATTGCGGCTCCTGGCAAAAGCCAGAGTGGGGCTTCAAATAAGAAAAAATTACATTCTAAACTGGACGTAAGGAAAGAAAATGGAAGTATAGAGAAGTCAACTTGACTTGACTTTCTACCCCACTAGGACATCACACAAACGATAAACACCCGATGACACAAAGTGCCACCATGTGGATGAGGATCACCGTGGAGAGGTCCCAGAAACCGCGTTCAGACAATTGGCCATATTTATGGCCTGCCTATATTGCGGCCTCTGGAAAAAGCCAGAGTGGGGCTTCAAATAAGAAAAAATTACATTCTAAAAAGGACGTATGGAATACTGCATACTAATGAGAAGTCGACTGACTGACTGACTTTCTACCCCACCAGGACATCACACAAGCGATAAACACCCGATGACACAAAGTGCCACCATGCGGATGAGGATCGCTGTGGAGAGGTTCCAGAAACCGCGTTCAGACATTTGGCCATATTTATGGCCTGCCTATATTGCGGCCCCTGGCAAAAGCCAGAGTAGGGCTTCAAATGACAAAAAATTTCGTCCTAAAAAGGATGAAATTTGAAGCAGCATGATTAACATGAGAAGTCAACGGAAATATTGACCGAATATTGAAGACAATGTAGTAAGTGTGGCCTAGTGAATTCATCATCACCCCAATCCCCCCACCCCAATTCCCCCCTCCCCTCCCCCAATATTTTATTACCACTAGCAGTCCAGACTCCCTAGCTGCCACCTGCTACTAACCCATTTGTCCCACAACACCTGAAATAAAGATTGATTACACAAGTTGATAGTTTCAAGAATGTCTCGGTTTATAATTTATCTCCCTTACACCGATTGTCTCGCTTTTATTGTCATTGGCAGGTACAAGTCTTCGTTCTGTCTCATAAGTTCAACAGTATCATTGTGACATTCTGTCAGTTTAGAATGCGACAACTATGCAGTAAGTCTAATAACGATAGCGTTATTTCCATCAATTGCACTGCCGACGGGGAGGGGGGGGGGAGGGGGGGGGATTGTGAGCACAACAAAATACCAAGTTCGTTATTTTTATCTTGGGCCTTGTAAGCGCACTTTGTACATAATATATATTGTCATACATACCAACAGTCGTCCCCATGTGGGATGCAATCTTTTTGAAGCACCTCCCTGGCTTCTGTCGGGGACTCTGAATATGACCGGGTCATAAATATGGCTTAGCCATAGATATGGCCTAACGGTTGAAAGGGGTTTCTAGGATGTCTCCAAGGGTGATCCTCATCCGCATGGTGTCACTTTGTGTCACCAGGTGTTTATCGCTTGTGGGATGTCCTGGTGGGATACAACTACCTACCTACCCTTATTGTTATGCACTCAAGTATGTCCAGACAAAACGTTGTTGAGTGCAGCATACATAGCCAGAATCAATCAGCAAGTTCTTTATAGAAGGCACGCTTTAATTTGTCTATGGCCGCTGCTCGTCTACGAGGTCAGCATGACCGTGGTTGAGACCATGTGGAAAAAAATCAACACCGCCATGAGGAAACGGTTTGGAGCGCCGTCTTGTCTGACCGATGTTTTTTTTTTTTTTTCTTTTAACTTTTTTTTTTTAATATTAATTCTTAGGTCATTTGTAAATGTTTTCTCTGAGTAAAACAATATATATATATATATAACTGAATATGATATATGATTAGAATATGTATTGAAGTGGTTTGAAAAACAAACAAACACAGAGGCGATTGTGGTGATTCCAAAAGGTGGAGTGTTTTTTTTTTTTGGGGGGGGGGGGGAGTATATGATGTTTGTATATTGATGACAAGAATAAATAGAATGCAAAAGCGGTGCTAATGGATGATAATGATGGTGATGATGATGATGATAATAATAATAATAATAATAATAATAATAATAATAGGAAGAATAATAAAGATATTAACGATAGAAGAACGAGGAACAGGAAATAAGGATGGTAATGAGAAGCAGGGTCTGGAGCTGTGATGTATAAAGAGATAGCTCTGGTGGTGATCTGGTGGTGATCTGGTGGTGATGTGGTGGTGATTTGAAGATGATGATGTAGTGAAATGAATACTAAATAACAGTACTGACTCGGCACAGTTTCTGTAACATATGACTGCTGTTCGGCCATTGTTTCTTGGTTGGCCAGTAGCCAGACACACCAGCAAAAACATGGTAGCCACAACCAACTGGACATCTCTTCCTTTCATGATTCCGGCAGTGAGAAACTAGCAGAGATCTGCAGATAAACGTTAGAACAAAATGTTTATGATACATTTGGTCAGCCATACCTTTGAATTCCATGGATCTACACTTAGAGATAACCCACACAATCTGGCAATAGTTCAGTGGAGAAATGCAGTCTCCAACCGTCCTGAATCAGGCTTTAAATTGGCCAAAAGTCTAACCCCCTCTCCTTGAAACCTATTGGCATCTTGTGCTAATCTCCTACTTGTACTGAACAGTAGACCGTCGATACGTGTTGTGGTCAGTATAACTCGGTCACCTTTCCTTTCACAGACATTACCTGGAGCCCAGGATACAAGATTTCTACCCCCATCCCCCCATTCCCTCTCTCCATCTTAGGCTGATGGTAGTTTGGTAAACGAGAGAATGACCGGCTGTGCTCTCCACTGCTGAGTTGACATCACAGCACTCTAGGCATTCCCATACGCGTTCCGTTCCCATCCTCAGCAGCCAGCGCAGAGATCCAACACTAATGGTGCCGGTCGTAGTCTGGTTGTATGTCAGTCTTGCCTTTCCTCAGAGGGTAGTGAGCCGTCACATCCAGGTGCATCATTCTCTCCAGCCCATAATAATTCTCCACTGCTGGAAACCCGCCTGGTCTGGGCTCGAACTGACACTCAGGCAGACTACAAAATAGCCACAGAACAGTTTCAAGTGACGATGGGAGGTGTACAGATCTACCAGCTGTACCGATGGAAGGTGTACAGATCTACCAGCTATACCGATGGAAGGTGTACAGATCTACCAGCTATACCGATGGAAGGTGTACAGATCTACCAGCTATACCGATGGGAGGTGTACAGATCTACCAGCTGCACCGATGGGAGGTGTACAGATCCACCAGCTGCACCGATGGAAGGTGTACACATCTAACAGCTGCACCGATGGAAGGTGTACACATATAACAGCTGCACCGATGGGAGGTGTACAGATCTACCAGCTGTATCGATGGGAGGTGTACAGATCTACCAGCTGTAGCGATGGGAGGTGTACAGATCGACCAGCTGCACCGATGAACTGATACATGAACCGGTGCCAGAACATGTATCCTAGAGACGTCAGTTTGAGCCGAGTCTTAAACTGGTAACAAACAAACGAAGACAATGTAGTCATGGCTGGGGATACGAGGACACAAACAACCAAGGAGAGTGGAAAGCTGATGGAAAGAAGAAATTATATATTAATGACAACACTCATAAAGGGGTTTCACAAACTCCTGTCTCCTATCAGTGCAGACATAAATCAAATAAAAGAGTACGGCACAGGAGAGAAAATAACTTTGATAACATGACATAGAAGGTTATAGCCCCACGGTAAAACAAAAGAGACAACAACTGAGATAACCTGACAGACAAGGTTATAGCCCCACGGTAAAACAAGAGAGACAACAACTGAGATAACATGACAGAGAAGGTTATAACCCCACGGTAAAACAAGAGAGACAACAACTGAGATAATATGGCAGAGAAAGTTAAAGCCCCGCGGTAAAACAAGAGAGACAACAACTGAGATAACATGGCAGAGAAAGTTATAGCCCCACGGTAAAACAAGAGAGACAACAACTGAGATAACACGACAGAGAAGGTTATAACCCCACGGTAAAACAAGAGAGACAACAACTGAGATAACATGACAGAGAAGGTTATAGTCCCACGGTAAAACAAGAGAGACAAAAACTGAGATAATATGCCAGAGAAGGTTAAAGCCCCACGGTAAAACCAGAGAGACAACAACTGAGATAACATGACAGAAAAGGCTCACTATAACGCAGGGTATTTGAAGAACGTTGCTCTCATCACGAGACGCAAGAAAGCCCTTGCTAACCCCCGACCTCGTGAACTTTCATGCCTGCGGTGACCTTGATATCCTGCTTCCACCATCGAGTTGGTCGCCTGCTGCCCCTTCTCCGAGTTTTCTCGTCGTTGCTCATCACACTCGTCCTGTAGAATGTATATAAAGTTATGTTACTAATGTCAACATACCCGATCTGAGAAACACGGACAGCACTTGGAGTTGCAGTCTTGATGGGCGTGGAGCTGTCTTCTCTCTGTTTTATAGCTTTGCCATAGACTCTATACACGGAACAGCTCGTTCTTAGATCTTTGACATTCAGATAACCTGTCCATTTGTGCCCTGATCTGAAACCGTCTCACGCCAGTTATTTGACCTGTCCAGCGTTAGTGAAATTTTTTTTCATTTAAAAGGCTTTGGTTATCGCACCGAAGGCGCAAAGGCAGCTGTTAAGTGACGAATAAATTAAAATAATTAGCGCAGGAAACGAGATTACTACGCCGCTGATATTATAATTTATGTGCGAATGTTAATGTATATTTTGTCTTTGTTTTGTATGTATTCTTTTGGGTGTGAGCTTTATGAATATTTTCACGAAGATTGTTCAGATATGGTAATGATAAAAACTTGATTTATAAAAACAGGAAATGTGCCCATTGGATGTTGATATTACTATTATAGATACAGATAGGAAAATTATTTTAACACATCAAGGCTCATGGTGCATATGGTGCTGGCCTCATGTTCTCACAGACCTTTGGTTATTTGATGTGGTCAGTACATGAGTGGACGTTTTTACTTCCCAGGATCGCCGTATGGGTTACGGGGCTCCATTTTGGAGAGGAAAAAAAGGGAACAGACTCACAGCCCCAGCAAGCATGTCGTAGGAGAAAACTGAGTAGGGGTGTTTCCTTCACAGTTGAAGTGTAACTGCCTGACATGCAAGGAACAAACAGTTTGTATACAAATAAAACATTTCTGTAAAACGGATGTGTACGCACAACTCAAGTTCTAGATCGTCTAAAGTCCAGGAGGGGGCGAACAACCAGAATTTTCCGCCGGAATTGATCAGCATCGGTATTGTGTGTGTGTGTGTGTGTGTGTGAGTGTGTTTGTGTGTGTGTACATTACTGAACTTTAAAATGCTGAAGGAAATTGATGAGCATTAAATTGGATAGATTCAAGACAGGCGAGTACACAAGAGACACAACCGAACACCCGCAGATTTCAACGGTTATACGGCTGAGACATGTCCGAACACCCGCTGATATCAACGATTGTACGAGGATAGCAATACACTGGTCACATCCTGTGGGAAGCGAACAGAAAAACACCGACGATGTCAAAGCATGTGAGGGTTTTAATAGTATCATTGTCAAGAAAATAATTAACTATTTCAACCGGGTGACCTAGGGAGGAAACAGGGAAGGAGGGGGAGGGGGGAGGGGTGGAGTTGAACTGACTTAATTCTTAATGTCCCGTTTTCAGATCAAAACATTAGTGGAATGTCCCGTTTCAGCACAAGATAGTAATGGAATGTCCTTTTTTCAGCTCAAAAGTATTAGTGGAATGTCTCGTTTTAAGCTTAAGACACTCTGGTCACTCTAATTATATGCTTCTCTTGAAAGTTGAATACAGATCGCATAGAATTGTTTAATACACTGAGCGTGCCACTAAGAACCGCTCTTTACGCCACGCAAGCCGTGGGTTGCTGGTATCTAAGGAATTGAGAAACAAGGCCTGGAGAGCAACTGCCTTATCAGTACCGTTTGAGTTTATCTGAAAGATCATCATCATCAAGGGTCTTGTCGACTGGCTTGGACGATCTTGCCTCCCCTCAATCTGAGATCTTTGACAGAATACATCAGTTCATTTGCTGACACCCAAACATACCACGGCTAAAGGCTGTCAAAAATATTCTTGCGCTGTCTTCTTCTATCTCTCTTTCCACAGACCTTTCTAGTTGTCACAACATGTTTTACTTTCCTTCTTCTCATAACATGAATAAAACATGATGACTTTCTTTTTCTGATGTTTGTGATAAGTTGTCTTCGAGCCCTCGTCTCTATCTGATGTTTGTGATAAGTTGTCTTCGAGCTCTTGTCTGTCTTATGTTTGTAATAAGTTGTTTTCGAGCTCTTGTCTCTGATGCTTGTAATAAGTTGTCTTCGAGCTCTAGTCTCTGTCTGATGTTTGTAATAAGTTGTCTTCGAGCTCTAGTCTCTGTCTGATGTTTGTGATAAGTTGTCTTCGAACTCTCGTCTGTCTGATGTTTGTAATAAGTTGTCTTCGAGCTCTAGTCTCTGTCTGATGTTTGCGATAAGTTGTCTTCGAGCTCTCGTCTCTGTCTGATGTTTGTAATAAGTTGTCTTCGAGCTCTCGTCTCTGTCTGATGTTTGTGATAAGTTGTCTTCGAGCTCTCGTCTCTGTCTGATGTTTGTGATAAGTTGTCTTCGAGCTCTCGTCTCTGTCTGATGTTTGTGATAAGTTGTCTTCGAGCTCTCATCTCTGTCTGATGTTTGTGATAAGTTGTCTTCGAGCTCTCGTCTCTTTCTGAACATCTTGGTTGCTCTTTCTGGCTTCTAAAGACCACATCTCTAAGTCCTCAGAAAATTGCTTGGCTTGTTATTAGTTGTCCATGATTCACAGCTGTTTGTTAATACTTTACCTGAATAAAGTTAGTTAGTTGCGTAGCCTTTACAGGTCGTTGCAGAAGCAACCCCAGCATTCGCTGTTGTGGTTTTTCTAGGCAAATTTACATCCAGTAGTTTGCTATAGCCTCTGGACGGTCGGCTTCTCGATACCACTGTCGAAACCAACGCAAGGCGCAAGGCCTGCAGCTGGGATCGAACCCGGCAACCCGGCATTACAAAGCGCGTGCGCAACGCCACAATTACCGACTACCTGAATATTCCACTGTATAAAGGAGCATAACAGGGGCAAGATTATCTCTCTCTTTCTGTGTGTGTGTGTGTATATATATATATATATATATATATATATATATATATATATATATATATATATATATATATATGTGTGTGTGTGTGTGTGTGTGTGTGTGTGTGTGTGTGTGTGTGAGCGTTTTTTTTTTCTACATATTTTTCAAAAACATTCTTTTCTCTAATTTCCCAGTCCTACTTACGAGGGTTATCAGCCGAATTCGTCACGC